CAATCCAGATTGCAATTCTTTCTTCCATATCATTGGAGGTGATATTATGTCATTGTTGATAATTTGAGTTCATGTTTCATGATTCACATGTTGTTAAGAATGAGGTAGTTTAAATCCATCAACCTCTTTGTTGGAGTTATCTTGTGTCATGTTTCACCTAAAGCCTTCCCTAAGGATTATTTCTATTTATGGTGCTCATAAATGACCCAAGTTCTTCATTTATCCTCCCGGTGAAATAAGTTTCTCGCCTCCTTATTATATCAATTCAAATCCATTGTTTCCGTTAGTGGCAGAATTTCACCTCATACTTTTGAGAAGTTTTCCATAAGCCCACTACAAGCTAACTCTTTTCGTTGTTGGTTTTCCAAAAACTCCGTTCGACCCTTCTCCTAAGGATGCCTTTTCAAGCTCAATTGTGGCAGAAGTTGGCATTTTCTTCTTCATTCTTTTATTTCAATTATCTATCTTCTATTATTTCCTCCGCAGGCATTGTGATGTTGCTCTCTTTGACCCATCATCTTGTTTGATCTAGATTATGTTCCTTTCTTTGCTTATCCGTTTAACCGGAGTGTCGTGTTTTCATTCGAGCCCTCTCATCTTGTCAAGTTTTTCCTTCCATCTATAGTCGGAGTGCTGTCGAAATTATATCATTCTTATTCCTTCTCTATCTTGTGTTATCCGGAGTGTTGTCGTAATTGATCCTTATCGTTCCTTGTACATCTTGTTTCTATCAGAGTGCTTGCATGTACTTCCTGTCCATTGCAACCCCTTTTCTTATGTCTTTCAACCTACAAGGTTCTTGTAATGTTCCTTGTTCCTCTTCTCTAACGGAGTGTTTTCAACTTTATTCATCTCTGTTGTATTCTTCTTTCCAATTGTTTAACCTCTCAAGGATCATTGGTTCCACTCGTTTGTCAAAGAAGCAACTTAGTTCTACCTCTCCTCTTCCTCTTCCGTTTCCCTCTGGTGCCATTCTAGATCTTGGGACGAGATCCTCTCGTAGTGGTGGAGTGTTGTAACGCCCCGAGACCATTGCGCCAGGTGTCTTCCAGTTATTCGTTGTTGTTGCCTTGTCATTTGCTTGCGTGTTGCATATTGCCATGTCATCATGTGCATTGCATCAGCATGTTTTCAAAACTTGCATTCGTCCTAGTCTCCTAGTTCTCTTTGTTGTCCATTCTGAGCCCAGACACACTTGCACGCGCCCGTGACATGTCCGATATTTTATTTTATAAGTGACCGGAAAATGTTCTTGGAATGGGATGAAAGTTGTCATGTGGTGTTGTTATGTTGTAGGTAGGCCGCCTGCCAAGTTTCATCGCATTCGGAGTTCGTTTGATAGCCTAACGGATAACTATAGCGACATTATAGTCGGTCAAACGTCGGACATTTTCGGTCTCTGGAAACAGTCGCCGGGTCTCTCTCTCTTCTCTTCTCTTAGCCCAAAGCTTTCTGCATAGTCCGCTGACGACCGCCAGGCCACGAAACCCTCTCTGCACAGTGCATCGAACCCCTCACGTGCACATCCGAAACTTCCCCGGACCCGACCCGGGCAGTCGCCATCGTTGGGTCCGGATCATCCCCAAACATCTACAAAACGTCTCCGTTTTGTTAATTGGACTTCCTAAAATAATTTTTTCTCGATCGCCCGATTACGATCGGAGGGACGAGGTAGCCCCTACCCAAATATCCACATGCTATATATGTATCATTCCAAACCTAAAATAAAGGACAGTTGTCCCATCCTTCCCCCTCGCGCCGCCACTTTCCAAATCCTCATCGGGATCCCCTCCCGATCCAGAATCCTTCCTTGATTTTCCAATCGGGCCAACCACTCGTAGCCCCCAATTCCATCGATCCATCCCCTCCAACCAGAGATTCCCACGGCCCTCCTCGACCAGCAGCAACCAGGAGCTCGAGCTCCTTCTCCACGCCCGCGTGCCCGAGGATACGCACAAGGCTGTGCCTCCTCGTCCCCGCGCCTCTGCCTTGCTAGTGGTCGCCGGCCACCCAAGCAGCAGCAGCAGGCTAGCCCTCGCCGCCCTTCTCCTTTTCCTTCCTCCTTCTCCCACCTCCCTAATCTCTCTGCTCCCTCTCTGCCGCTATGGAAAGGGTTTCGACGCTGCCGTCCTCGTGCTGCATCCCCGCCGCTGCGTATCCGCCTCCCTCCGCCTCGCCAAGTCCTCGAACCTCCATGGTCATGGATGCCGTCCACCGCCTCTAGCTCAAAGCTCTGGCGTGCCCAAGCCTCGGAGGCGACCGGATTCGGCCCAGATCGACCTCCCAAAGCCCTCATCGCCGGCCTCCCCTGCTTCTGCGTGCTTCTGCTTCCCCTGGCGTGACCCCTGTTCGTCTCCAGCCGCGCGCCTGCATCGATGGGTTCAGCGTTCCCGAGCGCGTTGACTATACCCTGCCTCGGCTCGATCTGCCTGCATGGCCCGCAGCCAGCGCCAGGCCTTCTCCGCTTCTGGCCGTTGGTCCAATGTGAGCATAGCTCCAGCCCCTTCTCTTTGTTCAGCCCAGCAGTGCACCAGATTCGGCCCATAGTGTTTTTTTCCGCTGCTGCGAAGTTGTCTATTTATCTAGAGGTTTACCGTTTTGCAGAAAAGTCCCTAAACTTCATGCATATAATAACTCCACAACCGTGCATCGGATCCAAATAAATTATATATGTAACTTGCCTAGAATTTTGTCTAGTTTCATGATTTGCAACTTTCATCCACGTTTAAAATGTTTAAAATGCTGTTTGTGTAATTTTGCCCATATGACATGCTAAAATCTTTAATTCATAACTATTTAACCGTAGCTCCAAACCTAATAAACTTTATATGTAAATGGGATGGAAAAATGTCTAGTTTAACATGATGCCTTTACTTTGTATGTTTAACAGCTCTAAAATTATGCTTAGGGCAGAAAAGTACCAAATCCATAAATATGCATATGAGGATTCTCCGTACTTGTTGCTTGTTGTTCCGGCCTCATTTAAACTTGCTTAGAAAGGTAGTTTTCATATGCTTCACATTTTGCCATGTTAATCAACATTTAATATTGTTGGGTACATAAACGAGAGAGAACTAAATAAGTCATGTGGTGTTTCGTCACTATGCAATGGAGTTGCATATTGAGCTCCACTTAATTTGTAGGATTGTTTGTGCACTTTGCCATGCCATGGATATTTAAACTGGACATGCATCATACTTGTTGTGCATCATGCCATGTTTCTGTGATGGTTGTTTACTATGTTGTGTACTTCTTTCCGGTGTTGCTTCTTCGGGTTGGTTCCGATAACGTCGTGTTTGTGAGGATCTGTTCGTCTACGTCCGTTGGTCTTCTTCGTGGACTCGTTCTTCTTCCTTGCGGGATCTCAGGCAGGATGACCATACCCTCGAAATCACTTCTATATTTGCTTGCTACTTGCTCGCTCTATTGCTATGCCTATGCTGCGATACCTACCACTTGCTATATCATGCCTCCCATATTGCTTAGCCAAGCCTCTAACCCACCTTGTCCTAGCAAACCATTGTTTGGCTATGTTACCGCTTTGCTCAGCCCCTCTTATAGAGTTGTTAGTTGCAGGTGAAGATTGGAGTTTGTTCCTTGTTGGAACTTGGATATTTTGTTGGGATATCACAATATCTCTTATTTAATTAATGCATCTATATACTTGGTAAAGGGTGGAAGGCTCGGCCTTATGCCAGGTGTTTTGTTCCACTCTTGCCACCCTAGTTTCCATCATACCGGCGTTATGTTCCTTGATTTTGCGTTCCTTACACGGTTGGGTTATAATGGGAACCCCTTGACAGTTCGCCTTGAATGAAACTCCTCCAGCAAGGCCCAACATTGGTCTTACCATTTGCCACCTAGCCTTTTCTTTCCCTTGGGTCGTCCAACCCAATGGTCATCTTTGTTTTAACCCCCCCCCCCCCGGCCAGTGCTTCTCTAAGTGTTGGTCCAACCTAAGTGATGTCCGACGCCCCTTGGGCCAGCAGGGTTTATGCCAACACGACGTCTTGCTCATCCGGTGTGCCCTGAGAACGAGATATGTGCAGCTCCTATCGGGATTTGTCGGCACATCTGGGTGGCTTTGCTGGTCTTGTTTTACCATTGTCCAGATGTCTTGTAATCGGGATTCCGAGTCTGATTGGATTGTCTTGGGAGAAGGAATATCCTTCGTTGACCGTGAGAGCTTATGATGGGCTAAGTTGGGACACCCCTGCAGGGATTTGAACTTTCGAAAGCCGTGCCCACGGTTATAGGCAGATGGGAATTTTTTAATGTCCGGTTGCAGAAACCTTGACACTTAACTTAATTAAAATGCATCAACCGCGTGTGTAGCCGTGATGGTCTCTTTCCGGCAGAGTCCGGGAAGTGAACACGGTGTTGCAGTTATGCTTGAACGTAAGTAGTCTAGGATCACTTCTTGATCATAGATTTCTCGAATGTGCTTTACCTTCTCTTCTCGCTCTCATTTACGTATGTTAGCCACCATATATGCTAGTGCTTGCTGCAGCTCCACCTCACATACCTTCTACCTACCTATAAGCTTAAATAGTCTTGATCGTGAGGGTGTGAGATTGCTGAGTCCCCGTGACTCACAGATTATTTCCAAAACCAGTTTGCAGGTGCCGATGATATCGTGCAGGTGGCGCAACCGAGCTCAAGGAGGAGCTCGATGAAGACCTTGTTCGTTGTGTTGTTTCGTTTCAGTTGATCAGTAGTGGAGCCCAGTTGGGATGACCGGTGATCTATAGCATTAGGGGTAGTCTTCTTTTATTTTGGTTCCGTAGTCGGACCTTGATTGTATTCTGGTTGTTGTAATGTTATTATCATGTATTGTGTGAAGTAGCGATTGTAAGCCAACTATGTTCCTCTTTCCTTATGCAGTACATGGGATGTGTAATGATTACCCCTCTTGCGACATTGCTTACAATGCGGTTATGCCTCTAAGTCGTGCTTCGACACGTGGGAGATATAGCCACATCATGGGCGTTAGATGCAGCTCAGGATCATCTTGTTCCTTGTCTTCAAGTATTTCTTCTTGGATCTGAAGTGTCTCTTCCTCTGGACTCTTGCTATCTTGCTCAGCTGAATGTGACGGTGTTGAAACCTCACACACCACAAGGGATATCCCAGCAACACTCAGCTCAAGGAGGGATGAGATACTGCACCCGGCATTGATATTCTTCTCAATTTTCCTTACTTCTTTCACTAGCTCTTTTCCACTCTTGATCTTGTTCATTTCATCTAGTATCATCGGCCTAATTGGATCATCTTCAGCACTCCAAGTGAACTCGAGACTAAGCAATGTGAGCTTGTCTATATCATCAAAGTCATCTTGTGTGGGCACTTGTGCATGAGATTGCTCAACATGTGCTGGAGTTATTGGTTGACCAAGTGGAGGACCATTTAACTCCATTGGACACATCTCCTGGTGTTGAGGTATATGAGTAGGAGGTGAATAAAATTGTTGTGGTGCATAGTTGTTGCTCTCCTCTTCATACCTAAATCCCTGCATATGATTACTAGAAGCAAACGGTGAGATCTCAAGGTTGTTGCTCCTATATGACATATTCTGGTTTTCAGGCCACCCATATGAGTAATTGTTTTGGTATGAGCTAGGCTGTGGGGCGAAGCTCATGCCATAACAATCGGGAGGGTGAGAGTAACCACGCTGACATTCAGCGGGTGAATGGCCCTGAAATCCACGAATATGGCAGGTGGGAGCAACATAAGGATGGCCTCTAGAATAAGGATCATAAGAGCTAGGCCTATCCTCAATAACTACTTCTCGCTTCCAAGCTAAATCATCTAATCGATGGGAAATCTTACTTATCAGGTCTTGAATACTTTCTGTGCTGTTTGTAGTGTTGCTCGCATAAGCATGATGATCTGAATAGTAAGCCATATCTAAGAAGATGCAATAACCTGCAGAATGACCAAGCAAAGAAAGAGAAAATAACTTGAACAAGGGTTAGGGGTTAGGGATATATCACATATATATAGCACAAAGGGAAAAACAAGAAAAACCTAGTCTATAGCCTAACAAAATCGCTCGACGCTAGTCCCCAGCAACGGCGCCAAAATGATCCATTGTAAGTACAGTGGGTTTTTCATGCCCAAACTGTGGATGTCGTGTTATCCACAGGGACTAGGCGATCAGCGGCTACGCTCGGCTAAAGCTAGGTATCCCGATATTGCGTGACGAATACAAGAAATAAACCTAACTCTAACAAGGATCATCAACAAAGGAAATGACAAAGAAGCAAAGGGAGGTTCAGATTATCCTCAACAATCTTTTTGGTATTTTCGTGATGCTTGAGAAATTAAAATACTAACATAGACAAACATCAATGAGAAAAGTGTCGGTGTACAAAAAGAGGGGTATACTTTTTGGACCCCTATAACTGTGCACGGGCAGTCTGAGCCACGGGCACCACCACACCAAGCAAGGCAAGGGAGGTGAGCCAAGGTAAGACCGAAGCTCAAGAGAACTACGATGCCAAGGCCAAGACCACGAAGAGCAAAGGGGACGAAGCGGACTCCCGCGGCAAGATCCTTGCCGGGAGACAGTTCTCGCAGCCCCGACAAAGACACTTGCCGCGGTGACTCGTCCCGCGCCTACGGAGCAAATCACCCTTGAGTCCACTGCCCCAAAGGGCATGGATTCGGGAGACATCCCCGTGGCGACATGTAGATCTTTGTGAAGACATTCAAGATTAGGTACGCACTAAGGAGACGACAACCCTTGGCGGGATCCCAGCCGAGGAAGACCACAAGGCCCCCAGCAAGCGCCTTGCCGGGGATGACAGCAGGCGCCCCGGCAAGACCCTTGTCGGGGCCCCGGCAAGGCCCTTACCGAGGACACCCGCGGGGCCACCATCAGGCCCACGCCGACTAAACCTCCACCACCGCATGCATGCAGCTGCCGACCCAATCAGCTGGGCAAGCACCTGCGTGGCGGCATACAGATCTTCGTGAAGACCCACCACTGCGCCACCTCAGCTGCCTGCCTACCTACATGGCATCGCATGCGTCGCTGGCCAGGGCGCGTGTCGACACAAGAAGGAGCGGCGACGGACGAGACAGATCTCTCCCCCGTCCCCGATAAAGCAAGGACACCTCAGCAAGACGCATTAAATGCGCCTTGTCATGTAATGCGAGGGATAACCTCGCATCACTGTACCCTTTCCACCTCCTGTGTGCCACTGTGGCAACCCCTTTTTCTATAAAAGGAGGCCCGAGGTGACCAGGAGAAGGATTCGGCTTTTTGGAGCTCCTCACGCCCCATAGCTAGCTCAAGAACACAGATATACAATCCACCAAAGTAGGAGTAGGGTTTTACGCATCCTCGCGGCCCGAACCTGGATAAACGAACCGTGTGCTACCTGTTAGATCCGCTCTTCTCACGACCCCGCGCCCCGCGAACCGTAGTAGGGATTCTTGTGATCCCATAGGTGTCGTTCCCGCCGACATCTCTGGCGCGCCAGGTAGGGGGCGCAGTTGTGAGAATCGGCTTTAGCAGTTAGTTCGGCGCTTCTTCATCATCATGGCGCCCAAGAAGAAGACGACAGTGGTGGTTGGCCAGTCGGAAGCCGGATAGCCCGTCCCGACGCGGGCGAGCAGCGGAGCGGTCGCAGAAAGGACCCGGGGCACTGCTCGCGAACACTAATACAATACCAGCAGCCGGAGTTTGGGAGGCGGCGATGTTTGTGCGCCTGGTAATGGGCCACACGTCACCAAATCCACAGGCGGAGCCAATCCCTTCGCGGGTGGAGCGGGGCCTTCCAGGGTCATCGCCACCCCGCCCGAAGGCGACGCAAGGGCCTCCATGACTCCCACGCCGGCTCCAACAACACGCTCCTCCCAGGCAGCGCACGACGAACGGCGTAGTCACGCCGAAGATCCCGGGCGTCGCCGCAGGAAGAGCCCCGAGCGCCACTCCTGAGACGTAGAAGACCTGCCCACTCACCGAGGCGCTGGTGAAAACGGCATGCGACCGCGGGGTCATGATAGAGCTCCTTCTGACATGGTCAGAAGTCGAAGCGCGTCGCGATCCGTGCAGGTTTCGCTGCCACCGACGGCAGCAGAGGCCCTGGCGCGCGCAGTTGCTCCTCGGTTTTCCTCCGGCTACGGGGAAACTCGACGAATGGAGAGCCACTATCCGAAGCCTTGTTGCGGTGGCCAACAAAGACGAACCAAGTCCGGTGAGGCCCCCGGGTCGACGCTCCAACGGAGTCCCGTGGACCAGTGGCGGAAAAGCCGGCGGCGCCGCGACCATGGTGCATTCACCTCTTCCCCATCCGGTACCGCGGACGCCGGCTCGTCGCGACGTCGCGGGCGACGACATCTCCATAGCATCGTCTGACCCGCGGACCCACTGTGACCAGCGCCAAGTTCTTCGACATCGAGCCCATGAAGACGCTCGAACCACTATCGAGCGCCGGCGCGGAGCGTGCCACCAGTCAGACAGGCGAGCAGGGCCTGCTGTGAACCACTCGGCCCCGGAGAGCCCTGGAGGCCTACCTTACGAGGTAGGCTGTCCGGCTTTTACCCGTGAGCTGCAGCAGTTCCAGTGGCCCACTCACCTCACCTTCAAACCTGATGTTGGCGAAAAGTACAACGGCAAGACTCACCCGTCTGAGTTCCTCAGCATCTACACCATTGCGATGCAAGCCGCCGGAGCCCGCGACGATAAGGTGCTTGCGAACTACTTTCCATTGGCTCTTAAACCCAACGCCATGTCGTGGTTGATGCACTTGCCGGTAGACTCCATTTCCTCCTGGTCGGATTTGTGCCATGAGTTTGTGGGCGCCTTTACTGGAGGTCACCAAGCCCATGGCCAAGCAAGCAACCTGCATGTCATTCCCCAGAAGGGAGGCGAGAGTCTACGCAAGTATATACAGAGGTTCAGCCGGGTACAGTACAATATCCCTGATGTTCACCCTGCCGCCATCATCAGCGTGTTCCATCAGAACGTGCGTAACCGCAAGATGCGCGAAGAACTGGCAATGAACAAGGTGAAAGATGTGGCAGAACTCTATGTTCTTGCTGGCAGATGTGCCCGAGCTGAAGAGGGAAGGAAGTACCCCAGCGAAGATGCCGGCGTGGAAACCGACTCCTCAGATGAGGATACTGCCGCCCCGGCGAAGAAAGGCCGGTGCCGCAACAGGAAGCGCAAAGGTAAAGCTGTGCTTGCCGTCGAGGGATCTGACGACACCGGGTCTGCCAAGAAAACCAAGGCAGATGACCCTGGCAAGGAGATTGCCGAATGTGTCGCCTGCCGGCCTTGGCGGCTGCCGAGAAGCCAGGAAACTCCGACAAGCAATACTGCAAGATCATCGCACCAAAGGCCGTGATCTCCAAAACTGCCGACACGTTGAGCTCCTTGCTGAGAAGCAGAGGGCTGAATATGAGAGGCGGGACAAGGAGAAAGGCCAGGACGATGCTGAGGGGTCCGGCAAGAAATGTGGCGGCCAGGCGGGCCGTCGCGGCAAAGATAAATAGCAGGAGAGGCCCGCCCGGGGCCGTGACAAAAAGCCAGAAGACGATGACCACGAAGAGGACGATGAGTGTGGTGACCAAGAATTTCAAAAAGCTACAGAGGCCATGTGCGTCAATGGCGGCACCTCGCTGCATACCTCTCACCGCCAGCTTAAACAGTGGGCGCATGAGATTACAGCGGCGAAACCGTCGTTTGATGCCCAAAGGCCGCTGAAGTGGTCCAACACACCTATCATTTTTGACACTGAGGATCACCCTGATCGCACTACTGCAATCGGGTGCTTGCCATTGTTGGTTTCACCAACAATACGCAACCCCAAGGTGACAAAGATGCTAGTCGACGGCGGGGCCAGTCTGAACTTAATCTCACCTGCCGTGATCGAGAAATTGCATATTCCTGATGAAGACCTCGAAGATACGGGCACATTTTAGGGGGTCAACCCGGGAAGAAGTCAACCAAAGGGAAAGGTCGCATTGCCTGTAACTTTTGGGAGTGATCTGAACTACAGGACGGAAAGGATTGTGTTCGACGTTGCCAAGATCCCCTTGCCTTACAACGGGATCCTTGGCCGCCCAGCGCTGGCCAAGTTCATGGCGGCATCACATTACGCCTACAACACCCTGAAGATGCCGGGGCCTATGACGATCATCACCGTCTCATCAGACAAGAAGGATGCGCTAATTTGCGCTGACCAACTCTACCAACAAGGAGTTGCAGCAGCCGCCGCTGCTAAGGTGCTTGCTCCTGCCGCTGGGGCCCCGGGAAGGCAAAAGAAGAAGACTGGTGAGACCTCAGGCACCCACTCCGGCAAGCGCACCTCTTCAAAGTGTAGCGCTCCCGTCGAGGACATGCCAGAGAGCTCCACTGACAGAAACAAGAAGTCCAGGGCCACACCGCCGGGAACCAAGAAGGTTCCTATCAAGGAGGACGGCATAGGAGGAGCTTTTACCATAAGCTCCACCCTTGATGACAAATAGGAAGACGCGCTCGTCACCTTACTGCGAGCGAATGTCAATGTGTTTGCATGGCAAGCATCCGACATCCCCGACGTTCCCAGGGAGGTGATTGAGCACCACCTTGCTGTCTGTCCTCATGCGCGGCCCGTCAAGCAGAAGGTTAGAAAGCAAGCTTTGGAATGACAAGAGTTCATCACAGAGGAGATCCGGAAACTGGAAGCAGCGGGTTTGGTAAGAGGAGTGCTCCATCCAACGTGGTTGGCCAATCCGGTGGTAGTGCGCAAGGCAAATGGGAAGTGGAGGCTGTGTATTGATTACACAAATATTAATAAGGCTTGTACCAAAGACCCCTTCCCGTTGCTGGGTGTGATCTGTTGTCATTCCTCGATGCCTACTCTGGCTACCACCAGATCTTCATGACAAGGGAAGATGAAGAGAAAACAGCAT